TATTTATAGTCTTTATTAACAAAATAAAACACTTCCGTTATTAACAACTTCAATATTGACATAATAATAAGATCAACAAAAAATAGTAAGTGTTGTACCATGACTTCCGGTCGTGCTAACTGTGCTATTTGTTGCTGTTCTCAATAGTGCTAAAGACGATTGTCCCAGCGGCAGCTGGAGTTCTGGGTGCTTTTTCATTCATAAAACTGAAATTTTACATACGTACAACATGTGTGTACATACAAATTTAGAATATGTTTTATTTATAGTCTTTATTAACAAAAGAAAAAACTTCCACAAATAGCAACTTTAATATTAACATAATAATAAGATCAACAAAAAGTAGTAAGTGTTGACTTCCGGTCGTGCTAACTGTGCCGTTTGTTGTGCTAAAGATGATTGTCCCAGCGGCAGCTGGAGTTCTGGGTGCTTTTTCATTCATAAAACTGAAATGTTACATGCGTACAATATGTGTGTACATACGAATTTAGAATATGTCATATTATATAATAGTCTTTATTAACAAAATAAAATAAAAAAACATAAATTAATATCAACAAAAAATAGTACGTTTTGTAAAATGCTTTCTGGTCGTGCTTTTTGCTTTTTGTTGGTTTTCTTAATAGTACACAGGGCCTTAGCCAGGATTTCTTTTCTTTTTTATTTCAATATAGATTGATTAAAAGAAAAATACTGATAAAAATAAAATATTTCACACAAGAAGCATATCCTCATTTGCTTGAATCATATGTACCATCAGCTTATAAATAGATATAGTCAAGGTACATTGAACAGGTAGTATCAGTAGAGCAGCTGATTTGATTTTTTATTTTTTTTAAATAATTTGGTCTCGAAAATGTCAAATATTTTTAATTTATTCTCACAAAAATTTTAAATTGTTAAAATCTATTTGCATACAAAACATGCGATTGAATAGCAGCTTTTGGAACGTTCGACCAACTCACGTTCGCACAAAGGATGGATCAATGTTTCGAGAAGCAAACAAATTTACTGAGGAAAAAGCTTGCAACAATTTTTATTTTTTTCAACTTAAATTTTTTATTTTTTTGTATTTCACATGGCAGAAGAAAAAAATCAAAACAGTTTTTGACACTTTCGATACCAGAAGCAACAACAAAATACACGCATATGTAGTTTTTGCTTTAATGCTATTACCTGTTTGATATGCCTTGGATATGCCTAGGTATGCCATGACGTGTATAGGGATGTTCCGATACAAGTAAATACGAGTATGTACTCGATAATTTTGTTTCGATACCAACTACTTTTTTTACTGGAATCGTTGTTTCGATACCTTTTTGGTATCGAAAGAAAAGCACTTTTATCGAATCGATTTGAGCAAGTGCCATATCTTGTCGGCCACATTTTTTCTATGGAAAATAATTGCTCAGTTTTTATGAAAAATAATTGCTTTAAGCAATGTCACCGCCAAAATCTAAAGTATGGATATATTTTTACAAAGTTAGTGATACCACAGCAAAGTACAAGCAATGCTTTGTAGCCGTAAAGTATATCACAGATAACGCCTGAAAATTATTTTCGCTTCGTTGCATATGAAAGGATGAAAAATTATCGATATAAGTAGGTATCGATACATTTGGTTCACTCATATAAGTAGTATCGAAGTAGCGATTTGAGTAGATTTGATGGTATCGGAACGTCCCTAGATGTGTATTACTACTATAGATTCATTTTTATTTGCTTTCATACTGCAGAAATTTGTATTAATTTTTATATTAGCCTAGAATCCCGTACTAGTATTCTTCTTCGTGTTGGGATTTGTGCATAAGTTAGCTAAGACATCTGAAACAGCTGGTAACCCTCCTAAATATAATTAAAAAATAAAGATATCTGTTTCGTCTGAGATCGTGATAGCTATATATTTCATGTGCCTGATGAATTAAGTTAAATTTGATTTTTTAAATACGTGACAACGCTCCTAAATACAGTTCAGAAATAAATGGATGTAATTTTATTTTATACCTATATTTTTAATAATTGCTTCAACTTATTAAATAATTTGAGTTTACCTTTTTAACAGATGGCAACCTTCTTTAATATTCTAAGTACTCAAACTAAGGATATCTTACCACCTTGTTTCACGTCATATTTTAATATTTCATTTAACTTATGCGCACTTTAATTAAATTCTAATTTTAAAACAGGTGGCAACCCTATTCAAAATATTTTAAAAATAAAACCTTGTCAAACCTTTTTCCAGTGACACCCATATTTCGATACATATTTAAATCTTGTATCTTATTCCCTTAATTTAGGTTTAATTTAATTTCTAAAACATATGGCAAGCCTCCTAAATAAAGTGCAGAAAAAAACATTTTTAACCCATGTCGTTTTACACCCATACTTTAATATGTAATTAATTTAACTTATTAAATAATTTGAGTTTAACTTTTTACACAGGTGGAAACCCTATTTAATGTATTATTACACGATAATATTTCTATTACTTCAAAGAACCTACATATATCCCGAAAATGGAAGTTACTTTTAACGACACTTTAAAGTCTCAATATTTACCCCAAAATAAGCCAATTGGTTACTTACAAAAATGAATCTGTCGATAGGTTTGGAATCTTGTCTTTGAAACTTCACACTTTTCTTTGAAATCGCTTCATTAGTTCTCGTGCAATAAGCGACTTCGTGAGGCTCTAAAACTTACAACTACAACATTTGAGCATAGCCTCCATATCAAAACGTAAGACGTATTCTACGTAAAAAAAAAAACACTGCGTTGACCACCCTGAATGTATACAAAAAAAGAATTACCAAAATTTGATTCCAGATTTCAAATCAAGTGGGGCGATGGCTAGACTGGTCGAGTGGCGCGTGATGATAGGTTCTTGGTCAGGTTTTTTGTTTTGTTGCCATACTATTTCTTGTTGATAATTTATTTTTGGTCATGCTTTTGTTTTGTGATCGGAGACTGAGGGTGGGCTTCAATTATGACTATAATAAAACAATATCAGTGTAATTTATGTACCGGATCAGGCAGCGAACAACGACAAGCCATAGCCGCAGAGCGCTGGACTTTGCTCGTCTAGCTCATCTACATACATACATATGTATGTACATATTTACATATGTATGTACATATTTACATATGTATTTACATGTTCTATTGCGTGGCACCCATTGGCCTGTCTGACTGTCGCCACGTCGCACAACCGCCCTCGTTGGTACAATTCCTGACCAAATTGATTGTGGAACAGCGTCGGCACAGCACCAGCTGTTGGACTAAGTGCATACATGTACATTTATGTACATTTACAGCGTGATAACACGCAGGCTGATCCAATTCCTCGTTACGCACAAAGTTCACGCGGAGAGCACAACAACGATTCAATGAGGCCGCAGTAATCATCGAATATTCCAATATCTCCATAAAATAACTCACAAATATTCGACATTTTCGATCAGCCAAAACTGCTTATCACATCACATGTCCAATTCGATGCTTTACTATGTACATTTGTACGTATATAAATACACGCGCATGTACGTAGGCTTATCAATTTGTTGGGTAATACCACCAGCAGCGGTCTATTTCGGTGAGCACGTTCGCTAATCTCAGTTTGTCGCGACTAGCTAACCTATTTGTCTGCTTGCCAGCCAAAAAGCAGTCGCAATTCTGCCACATCCCTGCAGGGAAAGCTACTAGTTGTGAACAAAATAGAATGCTATCAGTTTGCGTTTCAGCCCAAGTAGTTCAGGTTCTATCCTTTTTCAATGATTTTGGTGACGACCGGGTTCTTCGTCATTTTTTATGTCAAACTCATACAAATTCATGATGTCGCTGCCGCGTTTAAAAAAATCATGTCGTCATCGACAAGGCGTTTAGATAATGAAGATAACAAATTGGAAGCTGTGACCCGTAGCTCGTTGTTTTCAATGTGTTCAGAACTTTAGGCTACGCATCGGCATCAACTAGTAGCATTATACCAGTTGATGAGATGGTCTGCCAATTCATCCCCCGTGAAAAGCACGATTGAGAGAATACAAAGGTTACGCCGATCTCGGACCGCTATTGCTCTCTTAACGAATTTGACAGAATCGTTGTTTGCATGACGTCACACTTGTGCAACTTGCAATTGCACCAGTGTGACGTCACACAAAAGTTATTCTCAAAAATCCTCTCTGATCGGCGCAATCTTGTATTCTATCATTCTTGCGTGAAAAGCATAAGCATGCCATTTTGCTCGCGGCGCTCCGACAGTCGCAATGGCCGACAAAGTAAAGCTCTGGCATGGTATTCCTAAGGTCCAAGGTTCGAGAGCTGGCGCAGGGAAATTTTTATAAATTTTTTATTCAGCGTTTTTATTGCAATATTTAAATTTAATTTTAACAAAGTTTTTTTTTGTTTATTTTATTTTTTAAGGCACAAGTATTTCTTTCTATTTGGCGCAGGGATAATTATTTTTTTATTTAGGGGTTTTATTGAAATTTTTAAATTAAATTAAAAACATATTCCCATATGTATGTATGCAATGAAATTAGATTTGAAAATTTATTACGTATTTATATTTAAATTGAAATAATTATATTGACTTACATTTATTTAAGTTGAAAAATCTTAACCACCTCCAAGCGAACTCGAACCTGCTATCTCAGAACCAGAATCGGTAGTCTTCATGCGACGCCACAGCCAACATTTGCAAGAAAGGAATTAATTGCGTTTTGTTTTTGGCCTGGGTCGCTGAACGCTTGAGTTCTTCGAAATTGTCGAACTGGTAGGCCATCGCTTTAGCACATACTAGTTAATGAACTAGTATTTTTACTGACTGGTTTGGCTTTTCACTGCAGGGATCATATTCCACATACTAATGGGACTTTATATGTGCATGTATGTATGTATGTAGTTATCGCTGTGTTGAAATGTCGATCATTTAATCTATTGGGATTGCTCGCTTCTAATCAGCACACCAGCGAACTACTTCGAACCGGTAGAAGTGGCTGTCTGAGTGCTCTGCAGTATTTATAAATAATGTACAAGTATGTATGTATGTATAGATGGTTGATTTTTGTACTTTGCGCAACAGACAGCTTAATTAAAATGACGATCTGAAAAAAATTAAATAAAAATGTAGAATGCTTAGAGAAAGAAATATGTATGTATGTATGTTTCCAAAATTGAGGCAGATTCTTATGTCTAAATGGTCTAATGATTGTTATCGTCGAAATATAAAAAAAATACAGAGAAGCGTTCGGCATCAAAAAGTAAATCCGGTCCCGGTACTAAACAGGTGCCGCCCACCCCCTCGCCATTTTTTTTTTTTAAAACAAACTTATCAACTTAGCAAATATTTGTATCCTCCAACTTAATTTTCGTAAAAATCCGGGCCCCCTGAAAATACCGGCCCACTGGCCTGGTTACACCAATATGTAGATATCCCGCGGCAACCAGATATCGGTTCTGCATATTTAATGGCATAATATCTTTGCTATCGAAAGGATATTCGAGAAGTCTAGCTTGTCGAGGGACCTGTGCCACTCTCCAGTACAAACTGTAGTCTGAGTAAAGCCATACCGACTAAGACTACAAGTGGTTCCCGTGTCATAAATAGAGTTGGCGAACTTCTCGTGCCAACTTGTCGGCGACCTCCTTACTGTCAACCGTCAGTGACGGTATTCGGCAAATGATTATAGTACTTCTCGCTGCCAAATATTAAACCGGGTCAAAGTAGTCTTTCACAGGTAGCAACGAGGTGGCCTTCCACTTCGTTTGTTTTAACTCGCGTTTTATATTTAAAACGTTATAAATTTTATTTTACATAACTAATTATGTATGCCAACAAAGGGACGGGATAGTGCTAGGGTGCGCACGTCATATTAATCGGACGATTAAACACTTGGGTATGATCGACCAGTTAGGGAGAACCTAATCGCCACTTGGTGATTTTCTTCACTCTGCGCCGCGAGAAGGTGGGGTGGCATGCGAACGCGGACCGCCGTGATGCCAAGCACTTTCAAAAGTATATACCTTAGGCGGGTTAATTTTTTCTGACTATGCGCGTTTGGCATAGGAGAATACTACGCGTAATTCTAAGTAAATTTGCCAAAGAAGCCATGAGTCTAAAATCAGTTTAGACTTTGCCAAATTGCGAAAATAGGTTTCGAAGAAAATGAGGAACAATTTCACTGTTACGCCCTCTGGTGGAAGTTTTAAGAAAAAGATAAGCGCATGAATAGATTTTTCATACCCGAAAACTCCTTATAGTATGTTTTTTTTTTACAAAATTTAAGCACTTCTCTACGACACTACAGCAAAATGCTAAGACACCTATTTTGAAATTTGGCAAACTCCAAATTGATTTTAGACCTCGCTTGGCGTACAGCAGCGTTGGTAGCTGGGCGTACGTACCAGTATTGATAATTACGATACAATTGTATTTTTTAATACATTTTCAAGTGCTTTCTACTTTCCTACTATCCAGCACTTTTTAGTACAATTTCTTCTCAAGTCAAAATTTGGCAGCACTTGATTCGTTAAGTTATACAGCAAATTGATCAACGAGAGGTGTCTTGTGGAGCAGAAGCAGAATTGTTCATTTGCCAAAACAAGCAAAAACTAAAATAGGAAGATTTTCTAAATTTTAGAAAAAACGTAAAACATTTTTGTGGTTTATAAATTTGTCGTACTATGAAGAAAACAAATTAATTTTAATGACGAAATTCTAATATGGGCTTCAAAACTGTACCCTTCTCCTGTATTATCAGGCAATATGCAAATCATTGTTCCACTAATACACTTATTGTTTCAGAAGTATGAAATTGCTAGAATAGACAGCAATACAGAACTAAGAGCCGAACACCTTTATTTAAAAAAATTTTGTCAACGCCAATATTTGTGAGTTTTTGGAAAAGTAAGAATCACCAGAAATGTTTTAAATGAGCCACTGTTTTCAAACACAAAAACATCACTCAAGGATTGTTATTCTTCAGCCAATGTTGAAAGGTTCTTCTCCATACAAAACTTAATAAAAACAAAATGTCGAAATAGACTTCAAGTAGAAACAATTTCATTTAATAAGAAATAGAGGCATCTGCACGATTTATTCTTAAGGCAGTGTCACACGATTGGTACATTTGTACAAATTTGTACTTTTTTATATTGGGCTATAGGAACAAAATAAGAAAAAATGGGAAGATAATTTTTGTTTTAGTCCCACGATTGGTACAATACAGCGAACTTCTGTTGAAAAATATCAACAAATTGTTGTTCGTGAATGAGATAAAGGAAAATATTTGTGCATTCACACGATTGAGATACAATTTGCACCAAATTTTGGCCAACTGCCCAATCGTGTGACACTGCCTTAGAGCGTCCAACAAGTGTATGGTAATCAGTTCGACCTGGCAGCCCCTTTTTGGGCGTTCTGACAAGTTTGCGCTTTGCACCCACTTTCCTGTGCACCACCAGAGAACCTGGCGTTCTAGCAAAGAGGAACCGGGAGCTGTGTGTGATGTCACAAAAGGATTCCATAAAGACACCGTTGAGCAGATACACTGCAGGTTTCATTTCGTTGATTGACAGCAAGTGTGCTTTCACGTTCACCAGAGTTTTCAAAAGCTCCAGTTGGTTTCCCTAAGCGGGAAAGTCAAGACGCGAAGCTCTGATTGTCCGATATTTGACGATTCCATATACATAAATTCAGAAATTTACTTGAAAATATATTATCGGCAGAATCCACTAACATCAACATAGAAAATTCATATTTAGCAATCTAGACGCCAATAAACCATGCCACTCAACTAATGATTGTCGGATAACCTGAAGGTTCACGTATTTACTGGTAATTACTACTGCTACGATTTTTTTTTATATATTTTTTCTTTTTTTTTTTGGAGATTGGCACGTGTGGCCGCCATCAGCATATCACACCACAAAAGCGTGTAATTTTTTAATGTCCGAAAAGAAAATGTTAATTTTTTTAATAAAATAATATTGGAAAATCATTTACTCTAATGAACTTTATTACCCCATAACTGAGAAGCTCGGTATTTGGAATTTTTTTGCCCAGCCATGAGATAGGCGCCATTAATTTTGTGCTTGCCGGCTCTAATTACCTTGAATGTATATTTGTGCGGATGTTGGTATAATCATATCAGCTGGGGGCTGTTATCAGTGTAATCGGAGCAAAGTTCAGATCGGGCAGCTGACGGCGCAATTTCCATAAACCTGCTATAACCAGTTAGGGTTTCCGAAAATAGATGTTTTACAATATATATGTACATTTGTACGTATTGCACATTTGTGTAATATTAATAATTGCGTACACATTTTATGAGTGTCTTGTCATTGTAAATTATGATGAACCCATGGGGATTGAAACCAACCTAATAAGGCCAGCACTCAGCGTAGAGTCAAAACGAGCACTCCGCAAAGTTGTTTTCTCTCTGCCCTGTTCTGCATTGCCATTGTAAACGACTTCTGGAGGAAATTATGTGGCACTTATTTTTAATCTGATTCAAAGTTACCTATTCGTGGTGAACAGGTGGGCGGCCAACTGCAGCTTTGCAGTCAGCCTCTGCATGACCGAATTGGTCTGGTTTACTAGGAAGTATGTATAAGGTCCCCGATATGGTTCTTCCTTCGATCGGCGGTGTCCGTCCGTCTGCAGCTTTCCGACAGGTTCAACTACTTAATACTGAAAGGCGGCTGTTGTCTTGTACTGCTGCAGGGGAGCTATGGGTAAGAGGGGAGGTATCTTGCCTAAAGTAACTCATCGGCTTTAAGAAATCATACATAACTAGAGAAAGCTACAATTGCTAACCAACTGGTACGGCGGATTGCCCAAATCGGTATTAGTGGGACTTTACACTAGCGCTTAACGTCATGTTGAACATTACACCTGTACCGGGTGGTTAACTGGCTCGAAAGGTGGCTACGGGCAGCATACATTCCCTGAAGATAGGGCTGACTGGGCGGGGTCACTGGAAGAAGGGAGCAATGAACGTATTCACGGACGGATCAAAACTTGGAAGCAGGGTTGGTGGAGGTCGGGAGCTTTCTATCAAAACTAGTTTCATTCTGCAGTTTCTTTGAGGCGAAAATAGTTGCCATCAAGGAAAAAACTAGACTCAGTGCTGAAGAGTCAGTTAGGGAGGTTTGGCATATACTCTAATAGGCAGGCGACAATCAGGGCCTTGAACGCTATACGTCATGATGGTGCGCTCGCAATCAGTAAGAGAATGTCTGATCTCCTTATCAATCGCGCCAGAGTACTTTCTAATCAGGCTCATTTGGGTGCTAGGCCACAGTGACAATCCGCAAAACTGCGTGGCCCATGAGCTGACAAGGAAAGGAACGCTTAAAGTTCAATAAAGCAAGCCAGTCGTTTCTCTTCTGCGCCAACTGACGCCAATTGGAAATGCCAAGTGAAGCAAAGCCATTCCACATCTGTGGAGAGATTCTGTAAGCAAAAATTGTCGGTCTTTTCATCGCAAAGAGTTCCGAGCTGGGGCTGCTAATTTGCCTCAATTTCAAAGATATGATAAATTAGTACAATGTAGAATAAAAATATGGTTATCAAATTAAAGAAATTCTGTAGAATTAAAGTAGATTAAATTGTTTGGCGCATAGGGACGAATAGCTATTGAAAACGTCCTTTTAAAACTTTATTCGTGAATATCCTTGAAAATTTGTAATACTTGCTTTGTTTTTTAACTATATGTTAAGCACTAATATACACTCGACCACATCCTCGAATTTCGTCCTTCTAACTTTATTAGATCAAAAAAAAAAATTATTAAAAGGTAAATTCCAATACCTATTCGTCCTTGTAAGCCAGATTCTACAGAAATTTCCTTTTAATTTGATACCCATATTGCTATTCTACATTCTACGCAGTTTTACTCTGCTTGTCCATAGTTTTGTGAGTATGTATATTGATTGTTTCATGTCACTCACGTCATATCAGATCCGCTAAGCGAATCACAAATAACTTTTATTTCTGAAAATTCCGAAAATCTTGAAACAGTACCGAAAATTCCGATATAAAAATATAAAATAAATAAAGCCCAAAAGTCTTAAAAATGCCGAAGTAGTCCCAAAAATTCCG